GTGCCGCTATTGTGCTTTTTGCTTCTGTGCATGCCCAGAGCAATTTGAGTGGTCCTGTGCATGCACATGCAGCGTGCACGTGCACTGAGCGCGCGTGTGCAGCACCCGAGTGAACTGGCAGTAGCAGCTACCAGAACCCATCCCTGATGGCCATAGGGATGCTGAAATAGTTATAAGTATTAGAAGCCATTATAAGTCACCTTTTCATCACTGATAGAACTTTGAACAGTTGCAAAATGAATGCTTGTACCACCTGTATTCACAAGATTCATAATTGATATATGAAAGTCCACATACAATCACGTATCATATATCAACCACATTAGTTGATTGATATTAAGAGGTTGTGTTCCACAATTTTGGCATGATGCAGATCTGATAACCAGATTTCTGTCAGTAGGGATCTCTTTAAAAGAGCTGTACCCATGAATTTAATATGTAAGGGGGGCACAGGTGGTACGTGGAGCCATTTGTCAGGGACCTCAAGGTGTTGCCATGTCAGCTCGCCAGCACGCATGCGTGTGCTGGCCAGCTGAGTTCATCCTTTTTTAAAGGCATTTTTTGCTCTCCCCAGGATCAAGAGGTTTTTTAGGAGCCTGGGGAGGGCGAAAAGAGCCTCTCCCCTAGAGGCCCTCCAGAGGCTTCAGGAGCTTCCCTGATGCCTCCGGAGCGCAAAAAAAACCCAGCACTATTGGCAAACCCGAAGTTTGGTAACAGACTTCCAGTTTGCTCGTAGGTTAGTTTAAGCCCTCCGGAGGCTTCAGGGACCGGCCCTATGAAAGAAACCAGAAGTGACTTCCAGTTTGCTCGTAGGGTCCCTTTAAGGGTCTTTTTTAAGTCTCTGGAGCCTGGGGAGGGCGAAAAAAGCATGCAAAAAATGGGGGGAGTGACTTTCATGTGCACATGCACACTGGGGGTCGTCATGCATTGCATTACAGGTGTGGCACACCCATGCACAACCCTCCTGCGCTCTCCCCTTATGGCACATGAGCCAAAAAAGGTTCGCCATTGCTGCCCTATACCATTTCAGACAAATGGTTATCCAACATCTTCTTAAAGACTTCCAGTGTTGGGGCATTCACAACTTCTGGAGGTTCCACTGATTAATTGTTCTAACTGTCAGGAAATTTCACCTCAGTCCTAACTTGCTTCTCTCCTTCATTAGTTTCCACCCATTGCTTCTTTTTCTATCCTCAGGTGCTTTGAACATAGTACATCATCTAGGTAACTGCTGCAAGCAACTGCTGCAAGCTGCAAGACTACAAACAATAGCATGACAAAGTAGCAACAATGGAGCACTGGAATATCTGCACAAAATACTCTTTCCCTGCAAGCAAGAAATGATAGTACCACAAAATAGACAAAGTATTCAATTGAAAATGAAATGCTAAACTGTTCTGGAACTTTAGAATTCAAACATACAAACATCTGCAGACTTCCAAGACTTAATTGTTGATAAGAAAAATTAAAAGGTCTGGATAATGAATATTACAGTACTTGGATATATCAGAATAGAAGAGATTCATTTTCTGATAAGATGGATCAACTTCAAACAGAATTGGGAGTGGTCAACTATGTAGTGGAAGCAGAGCCCTTGTGGATTGTGTAAATTCCCCAGCACATATCACTGGTCACTTCTTCCCTTGAGTACTCATCATGCTTTGGTAAGTGGCATAGTAGAGATTAACTGGTCATATGACTTGACTTCTTTTTTTTCCTACTTAGCTTTGAATATTGCATTATGATGTGTCTGAACATTTGATTTTTCTTCAATATTTTTTATGAGACTCAACAATATACCTCCATCCTATCAGTAACGTGAAGTCAGGGAAGGCAGAGCCTCACCATTGTCATCATGAAAAGAAAAAAAAATGTAAAAGGAAAAAGGCTGAGCTAGTTGCTGCCAGAGTCACAGTGGATGATTCTGCTTAGTGCTTAACTGTTTTAAAAAGCCTCTAAAAATGTGCCCTCTACAGGGGAGGCAGGAGAACTACGTGCCTCATTTAGTCTGACTTTATGATCACTCGAGCAGAATTAAGCAAGGGTTAAAAGCCGAAAAATTCCTTATGTAGATGAGGCACATGGTTCTCTTGCCTCTTACTGTAGGGGGGCGTCTTTTTAGAGGCTTTTTTAAACAGTTAAGCAGAGTCATCCATTGGGGACTCTGGCAGCAGCTAACCCAGCCTGACCTCAGCAGCTCTTGCCTTTTTCCTTTTACATTTTTACATTTTCATAATGGCAGGCAAGAGCAGAGTTGAAATCCTCTGTGAAACAGCTGGAAAAGGTATGTAGGTTGGAGGGAGGGAGAGGAATTCAAAATTAATGTAATTTGTAAGTAATTGTAAGTAATGTGTGTGTGTGTGTGTGTGTGTGTGTGTGTGTGTGTTTGTTTGTTTCTTCACTCAAACAAACTCTCAATTTGAGATAGAGTTTGTTTGAGAGTGAAGAGAGTGAAGGGGGTAGGAGAGGCAGGGAGGGCAGCCTGCCTGCTTTCTTTCTCTGTGTCCATGGCAGCCCACCTGTAGGCAGGCTGCCACTTTCTTTTGCCCAGAGACGGGCACTTCAGGCGAGCTGGCGGGCTGCCACTTTCTTTCTTTTGTCCAGAGGCGGCAGCCCGCCTGAGCTGCCCACCTCTGGGCAAAAGAAAGAAAGTGGCAGCCCACGGCAGACATAGAGATGGGCAAAGAAAGTGAGCTGGCGGGCTGACACTTTCTTTCGCCTGCCTGTCAGAGCTCAGGCGGGCAAAAGAAAGAAAGTGCTTTAGACAGTGAGGTATCAGGGGAGAGGAGAGAATGCCTGAGCATTCTCTCCTCTCCCCCAACACCCCACTGTCTAAAGTGCTTTCTTTCCCCCGCCTGTCAGAACTCAGGCGGGTGAAAGAAAGAAAGCCCTTTAGACAGTGGGATGTCAGGGGGGAAGACTGCCTCACCAGCCATAAACCTCACCGCACGTCACTGCATCCTATACTTGATCAAATATGTTATATAAGTTTTGATTTGATGTTAGGAGATTGTGAGGAATTGAATGGGAAGAAACAAGCTGAAATTCAGTTCCTACAAGTTGGAATTGCTATTGGAATCATCTATTTTTTGTTAGTTCTGGTGGTAATGAGATTGTAGTCTCCTGAAGGAAAAGGTATGTTATTTGAGAACTCTCCTAGATGTATGATTTCTGCCTTGAAATCATATACCTCCTTTTACAGAACAAGTAAAGATTGTGTCTAGGATAGTCTTTGCTTACTTTTGGTTGATACTTCACTTGTGCCACTTCCTGGAGTAGAAAATTCTGGCAACAATAGCTGATGACTTCACCTATTCAATAAATTATTTCCATGTGCTTTTTCATTAAGCTACTGATTAGTTGGTTCTGAAGAGTTAGTGCTCTTCCATGGAGAGTAGATTTGCACATTTGGAGTCTTAAAGGTCGCATTACAATAATTGTAATATTCAAATGCACTTTATCACAACCACCATCTTCAAATCCAGTTTCAAAGAAGGTCAATAGAACTAACAATCTACTCGTTCTGGGCAGTATACAAGGCCATTGAGAACTTACTTCAACTTATTCCCATATGTAGCTTATCTGTCTGTCTGTCTGTTTTTCTGTCTCTGTCTCTATCCCTCTGTCTCTGTCTCTCTCTGTCTCTCTCTGTCTCTGTCTGTCTGTCTCTCTCTCTCTCTCTTCACTAAGTGAATATACACTGTATATTCATTTAGCAGTGGAGAGTTTCAATTTTTTTAGAACCTATTCTGTGGGTGTGGCCTATTTTGTGGACATGGCTTGGCAATCATGTGACCAGGTGGGTATGGCCAACTTGACATTACTAATGCACACTCAGTCATATGCCTCCCCCAAGCCATGCCCACGGTGGCAAACGTTTTTGGGACTCCAATGAAGGGGGGAAAGAGAGGGGGGACTCCCAAAAATAGACAATGGGAGGATTAAGGGCCGAAATTATGGAGATTGGAGAAGGCAAGACAGAGAGAAATCCAGGAGAAAGCTATCACACACTGGGGAAAGAACTTTGGGAGATCAGAGGAGGCAGGACAGAGAGGAATCCAGGAGAAAGCTATCACACACTGGGATGAGTGAATGAGGCAGCAGACAGACAATGAAAGGAGATAATGTTTGAGCAATGTGGGGGGCTTTCTCGCACACCTTTGGAGAAAGAAAGAAGGTGTGCGAGAATGCCATTTGAATGAAGGAGGTTGCAGGCTCCTTGGCCCTTGGCTATGCAATCTCCTTTTGTTCTCTGCTATCTGAACAAATGAATGAGGCTGATGAAGAATGAAAGGTGATCACATCGGGTGGGGGGAGTGAGTGAGGGGTGGCTGGGAGGCAGCATTCAGGTACTGTGCCATTGGACAAACTGGTTCTAAAACATACGCTGAATTTCACGTACTGGTTAGAACTGCCTGAAACCCACCCCTGTCACTTAGCAACCCTGGCGATCAATGGGGTGACAGATGTTGCAGCCAGATCGCCCTCACATCCAGTAACCATTTTATTTAGGAACAATTTCACTGAATGCATTGTGGTCACTATAGGAGGAGTTTAATTAGACTGTGTTTAATTAGAAATATTTAACTAGTTAATTCAGTAATTAATATACAATAATAGCCTACAAGCACTTTATGCTAGTTAAAATCCAGGGGTACTGAGTAAACCATATGTAATAAATGCAACATTTATGCCAGAATGGTACAAACTAATAAACACATACACATAAACACACATACACTTTATCAATAAAATTTGAAAATAAATAGAAAACGAAGAGCAACAATGTCTTGTAGGGAAAAGACACACATAACCAATATGTTCAACTACCAATATTTCTTGAAGCAAACCACACATGTGTTCTGAGTTATTAAACCTGCCTAAAAAGATGGTCATTTATTCACTGAGCTCAGCAAGTTTTCATATTTTTATATTTTACTAATTCAAGAATGGTGCTACTGAGTGGGAGACTGAACTTTACGTTATTCTGCATATTACCCTCATGTAGAACATGGCACTTCTGTTTTTTCAGACAGATAGAATTTTTTCATGAGCTTCTTTATGGTGATTTTTATCTCTTTATTCCGAAGAGTGAAGATCATGGAATTCAGCATTGGGGTCAAAAGAGTATAGAGGACCGAAACAACCTTGTCTGCTGGAAATACCTTGAAAGGGCGATCATAAATGAACATCCCTGGAACAAAATTCAAACTTATAACTATGATCTGGGAAGCACAGGTGGAAAGGGCCTTGTGTTTTCCTTCTGTTATATGCCTCCTAATCTTTACTAAGATGGCCGTATATGACATAAGCAAAATGAAGAAAATTAATGTGAGGAGAAGTCCACTATTACAAACCATCAGAAGCTCAGTTGTGTATGTATCAGCACATGCCAGCTTGATAAGTTGAGGAATGTCACAGTAGAAATTGTCCAAAACGTTGGATTTGCAGAAAGGCAGCTGAAGGAGAATTCCAACCTGGATAATGGAGTGAGCAAAGCCACCTAACCATGCTCCTGCTACCAATCCTATGCAAATTTCTTTCTTCATGATAATTAAATATTGCAGAGGCTTGTAAATAGCAATATATCTATCAACAGCCATTGTAATTAGTAAGAAGACCACTGTGCCCCCTGTTAAATGAATGAAAAAAATCTGTGCAATGCACCAATTATAAGAAATGGTGTGAGTATGAGAGAAGAGATCCCACAGCATTTTGAGTGATGTGACAGATGATTCACTGATGTCTACAACAGCCAAGTTAGCAAGCAGAAAATACATTGGTGTATGCAGAACAGGTGTGAAAAACACTGTGATTATAATGGTGAGATTTCCAAGCCAAGTTGTGGTATAAATGGCAAGGAAAAGGAGAAAGAGAAATGTCTGCACTTTATGATTTTGGGAGAAACCTAGCAGAATAAAATCTACTACAGTTGTCAGATTGTTCTCCATTTAAAATCCTGTTACTGATTTTAAGTGTTTTCCTCCTGAAATAATTGAGAAACATTGTAAGTTATGTCACTGATTTTTTCCTAGAACAATTTACCAACAATGTCAATTACAATCAATATTACATGTTAAATATGTTTTTGTTGTTTTTTTGCAATTAAGCCAAATAATATCAAATGTATTTACCTTGCACATTTTAAGGGTGCAGACCCATACTTTTAAATTATATGTGTATTTGATTTGAATCTTTTTTTAATCAAAGAAATCATAGACAAGGGGTATAATTATGGGATGTAGGAGCTAATAATCTAATATAAATTACATTTAGATATTTATCTATTTTAATGTATTTCCAGGACTTATATTACATTTTAATCAATCAATCTTAGTAAAGCATTTCACAAATCTGTACCTTGAGTGGTAAACAAACATGATAAAGGGACAAGGTATATATAATAAAAGTTATTAAATAAAAAATAAAAAATCATAAATTGAAGCAGAATTGTACCAAAAGTTGGAATAATAACAATTTTAATAATAATAATAATAATAATAAAACCTAATTAGGAACATAGTGCGGAAGAAGAGTCACAACAATCCTACTTTTAAATCTTAATAAAACAAATCTTTACAAACTTTTATAATATCAAGAGGAGAAAAACTAGTTAATTATCTATGAGATATACTGCATTATTACATTTTCTAAATGTTCTATATATTTAGTATCTACAAATTTTGTTGCTGTGATAATCATTCTTATGCATTACCATTAATAGATTTTGATATGTGATAAAGTAGAATAGAATTCCCCTTTCTTGAAATATGAACATATGCAGTGTCATATCACAATACAGATTTAGGTATGTTCTTAGATAACCAGATATCCTAGCTAGCTTTAGAATATTTCAGGTTTTTTAACCCACATTAAAAAAGCCACAGAACAGCTTTTGACATTTCTTAAAGGTGACATCTCTTAGGGGGAATTAGCAGCATCTGAAACAGGAAGAAATTGTGGGAGAAGTGACATTCTGATAGCTGCCACTCTTCCAAATGTAGTAATTCAAAGGTTTCATGAAAAGGTTAATTTAGTTTGAACTTATTGAATTAATTGTATTATGCACTGTGCAGACAAAAACATTGTAGAAGATACTAGTAGCAAATGAAGTATTAGAATTTTTCAGTTAATTAAAATGTAATGTATAAATATATAGTATATTGTACCATACTTGTTTTGTCTGAATATATGAAATAAACCCATTAAACGGCACTCACTTGTATATACCTTATTCAATGAAGAATAAACCTCTTATTTATATGTTTCATATATTATTTAAATAGGTTGACTCAGATTTGACAGTCACTTTCCTAATATTATATTTCTATTTCTCTGTTGTCATAGAGAAATGTTGCTGTAACTGACTATAAGTAGTCAGTACTCAAAAAGATCAAACATACCAATAGTCATACACAAACTCGTTGGCCATATATTGCTTATTCCAAATTCAGTTTTGAATTTACTACATTTATAAAATAATAAAAGGGGCTGTGTAAGAGAGATTTTTTTCATACCAGAAGATGTCTTATTCAACAGATATTGAATGACTGAAGCAGCTCTAATTTCAACATGCAGGTTTTTTTTACAGTTGTGAGCCATCCCAATCAAGCACTCTCAATGGTATAAAATTCTTCAGATTCATGCCTTGGCTTAAGAACAGAAAAGAAAAATAGACAAAATTAAAATAACATAATCAAAACACAATCAAGAGCAAAAATCATACATCACATAGATCCATATAAAAGTTAGCAATTTATATATACAAGAAAGCGAACTTGTTCAGAGACATAATCAAACTGTCCTTTTTTTTTGTCATAATGATCAAATAAGTCTTGAAGTCTTTACATATTTTCTGAATGTAAGAAAATAGCTGGACATCCAAACATAGAGCTAAGACTATTACTGCTGTGACAATCAATTTTATTATTATTATTATTATTTCTAAACTATCATTAAGACATTGAATTATAATGTAAGAAATCATCATTGTGAAAATCCTAAATTGGTCATTTTGTAGGGTGAAGGCATCTTTATTGAAGTTTATGAACTATTAATATTTACCATAAAGATCCAGTGAAAGTTATTTTATAGTTATTTTTTGAGTTCCCAGTCTAGAGTTGAGAGAGTGATACCCCACCTCACTTTAAAATACACTGGCTTCTATCTCAAAAGGAGGACAGCATGTTGTACATCTCCTAATTTAGCCAACTTAACCACAATACCACACTTGCTCTCATTATATTCATTATATGCAATTACTTTTTCCTTCTCTCATTATTTAAGAAAGGAGATATTTGTAAGCCATTCAGAGTTCTCTCAATGTAAGATGGGTGGCAAACAAATCTAATAAATAATTGTAAATGATGATTATATGGGAATGAATAATTAAATTGTTTCAAAATGGCTAAGTATGAATTGATACATATTTGTAAAATGCATCTTTGATCCAACTATACTTACCAATACATACAGTAGTTGTATCAATTGTAAAATAATTTGTATTACTTACATGTTTCCAGAGTTTAGATAAGTCAGCCTGAAGATGGCATTTAAATTTGTCAGTCCTATATTTCTCAACTGTCAGATAGACTTACACTGGTATTAAATAAATAAAACCTTAAGCTACTTAATTTGAATTCAGTTCTGAATTTATTTAAATCATTATTGAAAATGTTCCATGAAAGCAGAATTCTATATTAATTCAAAAACACAATTTCATACAAAAATATTCCTTTCATTCAAAAAATAATTTATTTTATGAAAAATAAGAAACAATGCCAGCCGAACTAAAATGTATTAAATTGCATTGATCATCTATTAACCTCACAAATAAGTAGAACTGAACATTAACAATTCTTATTCTTTTCAATTCTCACTTTAAGAACCAGATCTATTGCTGAAGTTGGAAATTCTGAGATTTATTGATGCATTCTTTATTTCTTTGAATGAACTCACTTTTATGACATTTTGCCTCAAACTTAGTAATGTTAACAGAAAAAATGTACAATTTGCATTCAAAAAGATATGGATGTTATTATGGTGACTGTGTAATTGAACAATTACTGATTAAAGCTATTATTTTTGTTTTAAAAGGATGGAAAATAATTCCATGATAATTAGCATAAAAATAAGGACTTGATGCATAAAAACTTTTTTTTAAAAAAATCACAAAGGACCCACATCCGAGGGGAGAACTTAAATCTCACCCAGAATAACCTGAATCGCCAATCATCAGGGTGTTATAAGTAAAAGATGAAAATGTTAATTCAATAATTAAGGACTCAAAGCACAAGAGATATCATTAAAATGCTAGAGAAGTATGTAGATAGAAATATACTTAATATTCCTATATCAGTCTCATTAGAGAAATATTGTATTCAAAAGTCATTTGCAAGTTGTCATACAGCCATGTATCTATTTGTAAGTGTAGTCAACCTAATTAGTTGGTGGATTCAACAGACTGTGTTCCACAATTGTGTGATTCAGACATGATGACCAGCGTCTGACAATATGGAGCTCTTTGGAAGGGCTGTTCCTAAGAACTTAATGTCTTAATTTTGTCATAGTAGGACAAAGGATTCTTTAAAAGCATGTTTAAATTAGGCCTGAAAATAGTAGTAAGCAACTGCTAAGGTATCTACATCAACTGATCTCAGTTTAATACATAGATTGGAAAAATCTGGAAGCCATTTTCTAAAATGTTTGCCTGAAGTCTACAAACTGCTGATTGCCATCTTGGCTGACCTCATTAACCTTCTAAATATTTATATTCTGCATAGCTGCATTGGTTAAATAATGTACCATTGGATTTTGGTAGTAATTTAACTTGTCACAAGGGAGACTGTTTAATTACCATTCCATTGAGAAAATAGTAGCAGTACCTTAGTGTGGAGAGGATTAGTGGAAATATATTATCTAGGTCCCTTTCACTCAGACTTCAGGCCCAAAATCAGTGTAAATACACTTAAAATCAGTGTAAAATCAGTGTAAAATCAGTGTAAAAGGGCTCTTGAGAAGGTTAGGATTGAGAACATTATTTTACAGCATTTTAACCAGGGATGAAATTCAGCAGGTTCTGACCAGTTCGGAGAACCAGTAGTGGAAATTTTGAGTAGTTTGGAGAACCAGTAAATATTGCCACTGGCTGTTCCCACCCCATCTATTTGCTGCCTCCCAAATCCCAGCTGTTCAGGATGAAATGGGAATTTTGCAGTAACTTTCCTCTGGAGAGGGGAAGGAATGGAGATTTTACAGTATCCTTTCCTTGCCATGCCAACCAAGCCATTCCCACCAAGCCATGCCATGCCCAACAAGTCATGCCCACAGAGCCAGTAGTAAAAAGTTTTGAATCCCACCACTGATTTTAACTCCTTACTGAGTAGTCTCTCATTAGGTAGAACTACAATTTTATGGTGTAGAGTATTGGTGTCAGACTCCTGCGGTTATGTTGCCATCATGTGATGTTTTGTAATGTTTTTCCCTTCATGAACCAGGGGTGGGTGTGGCCTTCACATGATGCATCCAGCCTGTGGACTACCAGTTTGACATCCCTCATATAGAAGGATAAATTATTTCCTTATGAGATATGACCCTTCAGTTTTGTCTCTTTCTTTCTCTGTTTTCTCTTTTCTTCATTTGCATAAAATCATTGGGAGTGGTCATAAGTTAGGAATTGAATTTCTTCAGTAGTTTGATGTTATTCAGAGACATACCTCTATTCTGTACTGGACCAGATATGCAGTAGAATTCCTGATCTAGTATCTGGAAGCTGTGAGTTGCTGTATAGGAAGAAAACAGCTGAAATGGAATCCTTGCATATTAAAATTGCTGCTTATTTGGAAACCATGTGTTTTCCTATTAGCTCTGGTAGTTACTTTGGTTGAGTTAGCATTTGAAGGATTCTTCCAACTGATTGGTTCTACTAGATGGATAGGCAAGGGAGCCCCGGTCAATTTTGGTTCATTTTCTAGTTGTTGCCCTTCCTGGAGTAGCCTCACATTTTGGATAGACTAGTGCAATATATCTTTTTTATTTACATTTATGGAGAATTTTACATCAAGATAAATATGAGAAAAGAAAAGAAACTTATCAAATGGGAATACTTCCAAACATTTATTCAACTGATAATTGCACTCGTATAATTCATACTTCCTCTTGGATGTTTTATAAATCTCTTTAATCCTTCACTAGATCTGGATCTTTTTTTTAATCAGCAAATTCATAAATCATCATATCATTTTTCTTTTTTCATCAAGATAAGAATTCTGGTCTTTTTGCTTTGATTAGGCAAATCAGCTTTGCTATCTTAGCAACTTCTCTCATTTTCACAATCCATTCCTCCACTTTGGGAATTTCATTGTTCCCTTCATCACTGAGCATTCAATAGTCTTTCTACACTCAAGAATATGGATAAAATTGGATTTCAAGTATTTCATATACCTTCTAATGATAATGATAATATCCCCACATATGCATCCTTTAATTTCATTTCTTTTTTATGTAATTGAGTGGCACCCTTCAGAACAAGGGATCTCAGGGCTGTTTAGTAAAATAATTAAAAATAAACAAAAACATAACATATTCTTGGAATCTATTGGAATATCTTTTCTAATTGTCTTTGATGCATATTCCAAATGGCTGGAGATGGCCATGATGAGGTCAACTATGATGGACACCATTACCAGGGTACTAAACAAAATGTTTGAAACACATGGGTTGCCAGACTTGTTGGTATCGGAAAATAGCCTCAATTTATGGCAACTGCATTTGAGGTATTCCTAGCAAGAGAAAGAATATGTCACACCCTTGTCATTTCACCTTGCAAGTAATGGGCAGGTGGAACAAATGGTGCGTATGTCAAAAGAGAGGTTGACTTAAATGGGCCCTGGGGACCATCAGGAGAAACTTAATAAGTATTTGTTCAACCAACATGTCACTCCTTGTATAATATACTCCTTATCCATAATATAGAGTGACCACAGTGATGTGAGATACACTGGCAGGAGGCCAGCCAAATTATTTGAGAATATTTATTGAGAACAAATTTAGACAGAATACATCCAGATTATTTGACAGAAATCCTTTCAGACTGGGAAAATGCAATCAATTTAAGCAAGGTGATCGAGTATATGTCCAAAATTATACCAGTCAACCTCTATAGGTGCCAGTACATAATACAGAAGTCATGGGTTCCCATTCATATTGGGTGGAGCTCAAGGATGGACAACAGTGGCACCGACATGTTGACCAGCTTTGGAGCTGTGCAATGGGGACAGCTGCTAGAGTGCTGGAAAAAGTGAACTGGAGTGGGGATCCAGAAGAGCGAGGGATGACAACACAGTGAAATGGTATCAGAAGAGCCGAGTCCAATGCTGAATGAAACATCTGTTATTGAGGGTCCACTGCTGCGGAGTCCATCTTGTTCTTCTTTGTCTCCAGCTGAGAGATATGCCTAGTTGGAGGCCCCGGAAGCATTAGTAATCTATCTGATGTAGTTCAAGGATGCGGTTGATGGGTGGGGGCCTGATAGAAATACAGGTGTGCTACAAGTTGATATAAAGCCATTGAAGATCAATGTATATGGATGATTATATTTGTGTAATACAAAATTAATGGAATATCCCATGGGTAGGAAGGGGTGTTAGGTCCACACAAGCATGAGCAGAAGCTTTTCCTTCTGCTGTTCAAGTGTGGGACGTATTTTAAAATTATTGGTTAATGGCTGACAGCTTTCCATAAAAGGGGCTGTCAGCCAGAAGCTGCATGTTGCTTTACAGTCTACTCTTATCTTAAATAAGCAGCATTGCTGAATCTGGCTCCTCATCTGTTCCCCACGCACAATATTGCAGTTGACCTCAGAACTTCTAGTACGTAGATGGCAGTGACAGCCACTGCTTGACAGAAAACTGAGTCAAATGATATCAATTCCTCCTGATTTATATCAGCTCTATATGATCTAATGGCATGTAACAAAACAAAACAGATTAAATTGAATTAATAAGTAAATAAAAGCTAGACCACCCAATAGGTGTCATTGTTAATGTGAAATAGACTGTCCATTATGCTACTGTACTCTGCTGGATTTTTAAAATTGCTATTTCTTGATTCTGTCTATATTTTTTAAGTTTTTCATTTCATTGTTGAAGAATGATTTTAGGACATTTCTTAGTCCAATCTTCACTTTCTCATTCCTAAGACCATAAATGAAAGGATTCAACATGGGAGTCACTATTGTGTTCAGCACAGTGCCCATTTTGTTAAAATCAAGCACATTTCCTTTGGTTGGGCGGACATAAATAAAGATAGAACTCCCATAATATAGCGTGACCACAGTGATGTGAGATGCACAAGTTGAGAAGGCTTTCTGACGACCTTGTGCTGAAGGTATTCTCAATACAGCAATAATAATATACATGTAAGATATAGTGGTTACAAAAAGTGATCCCAAAAGTAATATACAAGAAGTCCCAAAATCAATATTTTCAGCTAGCAATGTGTCACTACAGACCAGTTTGAGTAAAGGTGCACTGTCACAGAAGAAGTGATTAACAATATTTGGGCCACAGAATGGTAACCCAGCTGTCACAATGCTGGGAATTAAAATAATCATGAAACCACCAATCCACGACCCCAATAAAAACTGGAAACAAGTCTTATTGTTCATAATCAAAGTATAGCGTAGTGGGTAACAAATTGCAAGATAGCGGTCTATGGACATGATAGCCAATATGAAAAATTCAGTAGATCCCATCAGAAAATAGAAGAACGATTGGGTAAGACAGCCCAGAAAGGAGATTGTCTTCTTTCCTGTGATCATATTTATTAGCATTTTAGGAACTACAGTTGATGTGATCATGAGTTCAAGAAATGAGAGGTTACCCAATAAAAAATACATGGGCAACTGAAGACCATGATTGGCCACCACTAATACAATTAACATGACATTTCCTGAAATGGTTAATGCATATGCAAAGAAGAAAACAATGAAGATGACAATGTCAACTGAACGAATGGTGTGAAATCCCAGGAGAATGAATTCAGATACAACAGTTTTATTGACCAAATTCATACTTTGATTAATCTTATGCTATTCATTAACAAATAGTGCAGTAAAATAAGAGACAAAGTGATGAAAAGAAGAAGTGATGGAGGAGGGAAAAATTGAACTATTAGTCAGATCCTCAATTGACACATCTGTAAAAATGAAGAATTTAGTATATTAGTAACCAATAGATGCATCAAATAACATTATTTATAAGATTACACATTCAATATCATACACTCAAGACATTGCTTGAGAAATTATCAGTTTTATTTTCAAGTAAAGGTATAGCAATAAATTCATTCATCTTATTTGTTAAACAAAGCAAAGACTTGCCTGCAAATGTGTTTTTTTAAAGAGGAGTATGAAAAGAAGCCATCTAAAGTTGGTCCAGGGTTCAAGAGCCAGGTCAAGGTTGTCAGTAGGTCCAAGTGTCTAAGATTCAAGAGTGAAATGCATAAACAGGGATCACATCTGAGCTAGCCATTGTTTTCAGCAATGAGAACAGAGATGACCAAGTCTCTTATATAGGCTGAAGTCAACTGTCACTCCTTGGAATGTTGCTGCAGTCAACTGTCTGCATTATTTGCCTGGCAAATAATACAATCTCTGTTTTTCTCTTCTTTCTACAGGTCCCTGACAAATTACACCACTGTATGTATGTATGTATGTATGTATGTATGTATGTATGTATGTATGTATGTATGTATGTATGTATGTATGTGTATATAT